CAGAGGAGCAGCTTTCTTCCCCCTGCATTCCCAGAGGAGCAGCTTCCTTCCCCCTGCATTCCCAGAGGAGCCCAGGCCCATCTCCCCCAGCCCTGGAGCTCCAGAGGAAAACTCCCCCCTTGTGCAGGATCCTGCTCCAGCAGAAGCACAGCTGGCACTGCAGGAGGGCTGAGCCACCCTGGGATGGGGCTGAGCCACCTCCCTGACACACAGGGGGACAGGGCATGTTCTGACCCTGTCAGTGGTTTGTTTTCTTTTCTGTATAATTGCATTTTTTAAAATTTTCCTCATAAAGATCTGTTATTTCTACTCCCATACCTTTCCCTGAGAGCCTCTTTTAAATTTATAATAATTCAGAGGGAGAGGGTTTGCATTTTCCATTTCAAGGGAGGCTCCTGCCTTCCTTAGCTGACACCTGTCTGTTCAAAACAAGACACCCAGGAAGTCACCAGGACCCAAATTTAGTCCCTTAGCCACATCAAGACCCCCATCAGTCACGTGAGTAGCTCTGACAGAGGCAATAAACTAAAATCTAGACTTGATTTTGTTTTTGTGGGACCATCATGGCCTTGGAGCAGGTGAGCCCACATGGAGCCAGCATTTCACCCTGCCACATTTCCAAAGTTTCTGCAAAATAGATTTCCCTGCTGTAACTCCTGAGTAGTTTTAGCTGCCTGAGCTCTTGAGCAAGGGTCCACGAGAGAACTGGAATCCACACCTGTGTGGATCCACGACAAATTCTTGATCAGACCCGTGTGGTCTTCCTGAGATTTAGCAATGCTCAGAACCAGACCTCCCCATCCCAGAAAGGGTTATTTAGCAAAGAAACTAGTCCATATGTTGCATTTAACCCCAAATTGCTGCTTTTTCACACTGAACTGCATACACTGTCCAGGGTACCTGCATTTTGCTACTTTTTCTGTATATTACAAAAAAAAAAAAAAAATTTAAAAAAGTAGAAACAGCATTGGAAATGAAGATTTTCTACCCGCTGAAGAAGGTAGGTGATAGCAACTTCAGTTCAGGTGGTTAAAGCAGCTCTGAGAGCTGGCTGTGAGGGAATGGTCCAGCTGGCAGAAGTTCATTCACCTCTGGAACAGGTGTTGCTTCTGACCAGCGTGCTCCGTCTGGAGTTGTAGGACATGTCTTCATACACCACATTGGGCTTTTTCTTCTGGAAATATTTCTTCACCTGCCAAACCAAGAAAACAGCCGTTCAAACCAGACCCTGGAAAGACCCCAAGCAAGGAGTCATTCTCCATCTTAGGAGTCCATCTACATCCGCTGTTGGAAGAAGAAACACACTTTTAAAATTCCTCTCATGATCCAGTGATGTCTTAGAGGACCAAGTGGAAATCATCAGCTTATTTATTTAACTTTCTTTTATGAGTCTGATGCAATTTCACAAAAAGTTCCTTCAAGAGTTGGATGTAACTGTAGCTTTGACATAAAAGTAAATGACAATAATAATAAATAAAGCTCATTCTCATTCTTAGACTGTTACTGGTAACACAGGACATGAGGTCCCACTGGGCTTTGACAGAATTATGTCACACTACTGGTTTTACCAGTGCTGGATCCACATTTGGACGGACAACAGAAGCCTGTGAATCATACACTTCATTTTCAGTAATATTTATGCAGCAGTAGGATTTGTCAGAGACAATTTCTGGGCACTTTCTGCAGTATATGTATAGAAATAATCCCAGTGAAGGAAAACAATTTGATTTTTTTTTTCCTCTGGAAAGAGGCCAATTTTTTTCTCCCAGCACTACTTTCAGACATCAGGCTATTTTATGAGTTTTTCTTGCCCTTATGTCCCCCTCCAAGTTACATCTCTTACAAGCTTGCTATGTACAGCTCCAGTCCCAATTCACAAAAAAAATTTTCAAAAGCAAGCAAAGCAGAACAGTGAGGGGCTTTGTTCAGGGATACACACACAACACATGGCTGTGTCAACCACACAGCTCACGCGAGGTTTGTTATCAAAACACAATAAATATCTCATTTACACAGGTTTACAGAAGTATAAAACGCTGTGTTAGCTGCCAGGAGTTTACAGCTGGAAGATATTAAACAAGGGCAAATAGGAGAGCAAGAGGAAGCCACAATTCCTGAGGTTTATCAGATGTTTGCTTGACTCAGGCACTATTTTAAAATAATATCAGTTTGCCCCAATTTTTCTGCGGTGACTGTACTTACATCCACACGGTACAAGGTGCAGCACACCAGGGCACAGAACAGCAGAGCCACCACTGTGCCAAGGACATACGAATCCCAGGAGCTCTTCTCACATGCCTGCTCCACTTCTGCATTTAAAATAACAGCAGCATTATTATAAATACAAAAAGGCAGAATTTTGTCAGATTAAGCTCTTTTCTGACGCAGAGATGGGGTAACTGAGAGGTGTTTTAAAAACTTTTATTCTATTTTCAGTCTCGTGAAGGGTGAGACAATACAGGTGTTATAATTCACACCATCACAATCAGAAGCAAACTATTTCCTAATTACAATACACTATAAATATTTCTTAACCTATCATCTTTTACCACACCATCCTATAAATACCTTAAAGCAAATAATCTAAAATTACCCCTCATGGGTCCTACTACAATGCATCATTCATGGTTCTATTTTTCCAAGGTATCCAGTCTTGCTTGCAAGGCCATCCTTGGAAACTTGTTTCTATTTCTATTTCTCTCTCAAATATGTCTGTCCTGTTCCATGGCATTTCTAAGTCAGCATTTCTTATCTCAAGGTTTGCATACATATGCAGACTATGTGAATCTTCTGTCAGGTTTTGAGAATTTTCTACAAATCTATTTCCCACAGAATTTTATTTTTATTCTGAAAAAAGTAATTTTACAGTTTAAGAAAAACTTCGGATATGGGCAGCTACAGAGACATACTTGTCATTCCATTGGTATTCTCACTGGCATTCCCTGTGCTCTTCCAGAGGATGGGGGTGGCTGCAGGTGGCTCAGCAAGGAGCATTGCACAAAGGCAGCTTCCACACACTCCTTTTGGGAGCAGAAAATAATTCCTGCAGTGTTGCTGCAACCCTGAGGGCTCTGAATTATCCAAGAGCCAGGCTGGTGAGAGATCCAGACAGAAGCAGGAGGATGCTGTGGTATGAAATGCACTGAGCAGAATAATGCTGGTGGAAAGGCTTTCAACTCTCTGAAACCTCAATTAATCCATATAGGAATAACACACTAATTAATAATCTAACACAATTAATTAATAATCACACCCTTGCTTTGTTGGGCTACTGCCATTTCCCCCACCTCACTTTACTGAGTTGCTGTCCCAGCTGTGGGTGGTGGCACAGAACAGGACCACAGGTGCTTTTTTCAGACTGCAGGAAAATCCTTTGCAACTCTCAGGCCTTTGTAAAATTTATTTTACAGAGCCCAGTGCACAGGGTTAAATCCACCAGTAAGACCAAAATCAAGCACTCTCTTGCTGGCTCTGATTTCAGCTTAGCAAATGGGTACAGCACAATCCTGCAGGAAAGTGAAAAACGCATCTGTGGAGCACAGAAAAGTAAAAATTCATCTTTGGAGCACAGAAAAATGAAACCCCCTATTTGGAACACAGTAAAATCAAACCCTCTATTTGGAGAACAGAAAAATGCAACTCCCTCTTTGGAACACAGAAAAGTAAAAACTCATCTTTGGAGCACAGAAAAATGCAACTCCCTCTTTGGAACACAGTAAAATCAAACCCCCTCTTTGCAGCACACGCTCACAGGGTGCTCAGTGTGTAACAAGGGTATGTGAGAGCATCTCTGCTGTGGTCTGTGGTGCTTGAAGCAAATCCCTGAGGATTTTTGTGCTCCCCACTGTGATCTACTTAACACAAGACTTGCCAGAGGGAATGGTTTCTAAAACCCGTTTATGTCATGCTAAGGTTAAAGAATTGGTGCTGAAAGTACTTATCCATATCCTAAAAGTGACAGTGAAGTGTTTGTTACCTTGTTTTGACTTTTTTTTTTTCCTTTTTCTAAGCTGCAGGATCATGGCAAGGTCTGAATTCCCCTCTGGTTATACAAGTCAGGTGGAAACACAAAATCTGTTTCTGTGTCTGAGCTCAACAGGGCACAAAGGAGCCTGAGCTCACTCTCCAAACTCTCCTGGGTTTGCCTGTCCTGACTAAAGTTCCTAAAGCTTTCTGTCCACAACACAACGACAGAGATTTATGATTAAACAAGCAAAAGGGTGGTACCTTTAACCAGCACCATGGTGCCACTGGCTGAGAGCAGAGGGGAACCCTTCACATCCTGGGCACAGTTGTAGATATCAGTGTCCTGCTCCTGGAGCTTGTGCAGAGTTACCACAGCTCTGTTTCCTTCCCTTGAATACCCCAAGCGACTCCCAAAGGCAGGAGAAACCTCTGACACGTTGAGCTTTGACACAGACAGAACTGTGCCAGGCTGCACGTGAGTCCTGAGCAAGTAGAACTTCTCATCTTCAGGTGAGCTTTTCAACACGCAGGTGATGTTGACAGACTGGCCTTGCACGGGGTTGGCATGGAGTGGTGATTGCTCCACAATTCTTCTGGATCCAGCTAAAAGCAGAGAGATTAGTGGTTATCACATGCTTAACACAGTGCGTTTTAACTAGGGAGCAAGGGACCAGAGCAGACAGAACATAGAAATGCTGATAAAATGAATTTTTAAACATGCTTTACACAGGTTTTGAGAAGAAGGATATGTTTTAGTACACCCTGTCACATCTTCCTGCCTCAGGGTCTGAAAGTAGGACTGACCAACAGGTTTAGCTGCTTGCAAAGGGTCCTAAAAATGATTGACCTAAAAATTATAAATACTGACCTCCTCTAAGGGAATCAACATGTACTGGAGTCATGCATCATTGCCTGCTTTCTCAAGCGAGTTGAAGCCTGGATCAAATCACACAGTGTGTGTCCCATCAATGTTCAAATGGTCTGTGAGAATGGAGTGGTCATTAATGACTCACTCTCCATCTGGGAATACAATCCACTGAGTTCCTCTAAGGACAGGACTTGCTCCTTTTAACATTATCATGGATGTGGATAAGGGAGTGAAGACAGGATTTATCAGGTTTGTAAAGGGAAAATTATAAGCATTTGAGAAGAGGATCAGAATCAAACAGCACTATAAAGCAACTTAATATAATAATGTGGAGAGACAATACACAATAAACAAGATGTGAGAAAACACAGCAAAGAAGTTTGAAAGGAGAAGCCCAAGGGAGGAGATGGTAATCCTCCATAAATATAAATTACTGTTGCTGATCAGCAGTCAATTCAATTTCACACGCCTCAGGGACGGGAAAGGAAGAAAATCCTGTAAGCTTTGGGAAAGATGTCTCAGGTTAGAAGGTCTCATTGGAAGGACAAGTACGTGGAGGAATAAACTGCCAAAGAGTAGTGTGGACTCAACTCTTTTCTAATGAAAATTTAAAAAAAAATCAAGACAGAAAAATTATTTCCCCAACCATAACCACCTGCCAAAAGAAGCACTTCTGCCCATTCAGCAACTCCTCACTAACAAGAGAAAAAACCCTTTACTCATTCATGCCCAACTTGCAGACCCTGCCTAACACCAGCTTCCCAATTACTACCAATTTGTCATTTAAGACAAATTAGTAACAGAAAAAGAGATTTGCGAAAACAACTGCTACCAAAAAAACCCTCTTTGCTCTGCTAGATGTTTAAAAAGGTTGGACAAGTTGTTTTGGAAAGAGCTGTGGGACCTCTCTGTTTCTAAACAGCTGCAGCAAAACCTGTGACTCATGTGAAAATCTGTAGCTGGAATGAGTGAGTCACAAATGAATCTCGTAGGATGGTTTGGGGTTTTTTTTGTGCCATACTACCTCATGTATTTTATTCATTCTTTCAGGGAGCCAACCCACACATTCCTTCAAATCTGTACCTGAGCAGACACAGAAAAGGTCCTGTCAAACTCACCCTCCCATTGTGCCTTCTTCCAATCTTTGATTTGAAATACAGACCTGTATTTACTAACCAATGAGATAAAAGGTGGAATTGCAATACCTTTGGCCACTACTATGGTTGTCTTCCTATGTATCTCTTTGTGATGGCCACTGATATTTAAAAAATCAGAGCATACGTAGATTTCAGAATCAGATTCCTGGAACCTGTGCAGGGTTATCCTGAGAGTCTGCCCTTCCTTTGAAGACTCAAGACGATTAGCAAAGACAGGATTGACAGATGGAGATTCCTCCTTGGGAAAATATGCCACATCAATACTCTGTCTGATAAGTCTCAAGTACATCCCCACTTGATATTGTGAACCACTCATTGGGCAAATTATGTTGATGGAGTCTCCTTCCCAAGCACTGATAACATCTGTGGACTGTTCATTTCCTCCACCTAAAAATAAGAAATGCAATTGAAAATATAATATCAGGGCTCCTCTTGGTCTGAACATATCAAAGAAGGTTTCAAAACCAACTCCTCCACCAACAGAACTGCTCTGTAAGAATGGACCTCAGTCTCCCCATGCTGGACATGTCATTTCTTGGCTGCTCTGGCACCTGCAGTGCCCTTCATGCCCAGTGACCTGAGCAGCTCAGCACCTTCCCAAGCTTCAAAGGCCTTGACAAAAAAGTGGCTGCTGTCACTGACACAGAAAATGTAGTTCTCTCTTTAGATTCCCAGGAAAATCCTATTAGTTCTCAAAATACAAACTTCACTAAGAGTATCCTGTTAATGGGTTCCAGATATAAGTCAGGAATTTAGAAGTGAGGAAAAGAGGCAGAAAAGGGAAGAAAATACACTTGTCTTTTTAAAGGGGCATTTAATAACAGCAGGGAACTGGATAATACAGATTCTCAGATTCAATAGAGGAAGAGGGCTGCAGAGGGTTCAAGTCCAATCTATTTAAGAAACAAAGGCATACAAATGTAGAATGAAACCCTTGGAGTTCTCAATGATCCCAGTATCCAAAAAAAATGAAGGGGGAGTATTTGTGCAATGAATAGTGAGGAACAGAGAGATCAAATGGGAACTACCTGAAAGAAGCTACATCAGAGGCAAGGCAAGAAAAATTAAATAGAGAGCACTGCATGGCTAAGACAAAAAGCTTAGAAAAGTTTGGAAAAAAGAAAATAAAAGATAGAAATGTAAGAGCATCAATGCTGTACATACCGTCCTGGGCAGGGAAGCACGGGAGAAGCAGGAGAAGAAGGGATGCATTTGGGAGACAAAACATCCACAGCATTTTCAAAGGTCTTTTTAGTTGCTCCCTCAGTCTGACCAATGAGTTAAAGTCTGAACACTGCTGCCTACCAGTTACTTGAGCTGCCTACTGAAAGAAGTCAGCAGAGTTTTGCTTTTGTGTGAAAATGATTGTGATGGAGGAGGCAAAACCTTTTCTCTGGGAGGGGCACCTTGTGTTTCTTCACACTTAAACCACCTTTGTTTTCTCACTGCTGAGCATCCCCCAGCCACCAGGGTAGCAGTAGAAAGTTGTCAATGGGGAGCACCTACCTCTCCTCTGAAGACAACTGAGAAAAGGGAGGTTCAAATTTGCTCTTCACAGTGCCAAAATCAGGCAGTTTTCTCCCAGTTGTGGCTTCCCTGGAAATGCAGAGGCTTGGAACCATAAGTTCAGTTTGTCAGGACTCCCACAGGCTTAGACTGATGGCTGCAGATGCAAAAGTCTTGGCTTTGTAAGGAGAAAGGAGATGAGGGATGCTCCATTACTTCAGGAAAACCCTCAATTATTGTACAAGCCCTGCAGACACACCAGCAGATCTGATCTGTATTTTGGCAATAATTGTGAATAATTGCCAAGCAGAGGGAGCTGGAGTTCCTTCAGCAAACACCAGCACTCACACCTGGGGCAGACCTGACCCACAAACCAGCCCACCTCACATCACCAGCAGCAGAAAGTGGATTTGACAGGAAATCTGTAGGAGCCTAACAATGTCTTTTGATCTCGTTGATGTTTTGAGGAAACATCATTATCTGAAACTTTCAGGCTTTTTCATCTCCCTTAACTTCTTTGCAAAGCCAAGACAATAAACAGTTCCAATCTTTACAGGACAATAAAGCCTTTTTCACCATAGCAAAGTGCTCTCTCAAAGTGAGAATTAAACCTTCAACCCAGAAACCGAATTCTATTCTTAACAAGTAGAAAGAGCAACAATTTCTAAGAGATTGGCTCAAAGACAGGAGCACTTAAAGAAGAAAGTGTGAGCACCACACACGTTGTTTGTGACCAAGGAAGCCTTTGTGCCTCTTCCCTTCCCTTCCCTTCCCTTCTCCCAGTGCTTGTGCAGTTTTTCCATCTCGTTCATCTCCCCTTTCAGAGCCCTGACCAGAGAGGAGAAAGTCCCTCGGATGCCAGAGGAAAAGCAGGAAACGGGATCCTCCCTTCTTTAAAATGTAACTAAATGTAATTAGTGCCTAATTACCTGTAATTGTATTTTTACTTTCACTTTTAGAGTGCAGGTCAGCATTGTCACTGAACATTGACACCAGGAAGCCCGTGCTGATGTGTGGTACAGTGCAGTAGGGCAAACATGGAAAAAGCCAATCACACTCCCAAAAACTTCCCAGGAACCTGCTTAGGAGTACCTGGGCAGTCCCCTGGTCCCTCTGGTACTGGGATGGAGGGGATGGAGGGGATGGAGGGGATGGAGGGGATGGAGGGGATGGAGGGGAATGGATTTGAGATCTGCTCCCCAGTCTGGCACTCCCTGGCCATGCAAGGGCTCCCAGGTCTGTTGTAAGTTCAGGGCCTGTAAGCACAGGGTACAGATGATGGTAAGATCTGCTACTTTCTTCTCTCTTTTTTGGGTGGGATTTTTTGGGATGGTCTGAGGCGAATAAAACTCTCAAATTAGATTTTATCTCTCAGCAAATGCAACACCTGGTTAGAGCAGCCATGCTTCCTCCCAGCCCACAGCTCACCCTTTCTCCACGCTGCTCTTCCACCTTGGCTCTCAGCACAGCCTTTTCAACAGAGACTTCTCAGGGAGCCTCTGTTCCAAACAAACCTGTGCCAGCCCCAGTCAGGACTGCTGCAGATTCACTGACAGCCCCGTGGCAGCAGACATCTCACTGCTGCTGAGCTCACCTGAGCTGACCCACCACCCTTGCACCTTCCCTGCCATCTGAAACAGCCTGGGATTCCTCCTGGAAAATCATCTTGCTATTAGATAAGGAAAAGATCTCTACAGGGCAGTCTTCAGGTCATAAAGAAACCAAGACAAGCCTCAGTGTGTGGTGCCATCTCCCAGTGCATGGCACCAGATGTCCTGACATGCAGATAAGGGATAAGATAGCAGTGTCACTCCCTGTCACAGCAGGCACAGAGGGCTGTGACAGTGACAGGAGTCACACAGCCCCAGTCCAAGGTACCCAGTGTCACAGTGAGCTCATGGACACTCGATTCCCCCTTCCCTGAGACCCTGTGATTCTGGGATAACCCTGGACCCTCCTTCCTGCCCCAACAGGGATGGGGAGAGCCAGGGAAGCCCACCCTGTCCAAAGCCTATGTAGACCCCTGACATTTCCTGTTCAACCTCTTTTGCCCCACTCTCCACATGGACACCACAGAATAAAGAGAGCTGAACCAACATATCTGGGGTAAGAGCCTCTTTTGGAAATCTTCACCATCTCCTGATATTCCTCCCCTCACAGCCTCTGGGCTTGCCTGATGTTCAGGGGGCTGAGGAAGGGGGAAAATGTCAACCCAGCACACAGCACCCTTCGTAGGAGACAGCAGCCCTTTGCCCCGTGCATCCACACCAAGCCTTTTTCTTGGGGATCATCTGCTGGGCCTGGTTCTTCACTGCAAGTGGTCTCAAAGGACATCCAGAAACTGGGGGAAGGAAATGCACAGCACCCCCTGTTTGTGAGCTGAACCCCTAATTTTGCAGAACAAGGAGGGAGCCCTATTGCACTCCCATCTCAGGGATGGTACCATCAGAAACTGGAAGTGCCTGTGCAGGTGCTGGCAGAGCTTTCTGCATCTGTGGCTGCTCTGAACAGGAGCAGTCCCTTGGCAGCCGTGAGGTACTCAGCAGGAACCCCTGAAGTTAGTAGACAAGAATCCAAATATTTCATGGAAACAGTGATGGTTATTTAATAACTCCACATCTTTGCCAAATGGACCACTGAGAAAAAGAGTTGCCCAGCAATTAAATGTTCATTTTCTGAAGCACTGAGCAAGTTACACTGATGGAGTGTCCCTCCCAAGCACTGATAGATGTTCTCTTGACTGTTCACTTGCTTCATGTAAAAAATAAGAAAGGAAATTGAAATTGTAATATCAGAGCTCCTCTTGGTCTGAGCATATCAAAGAAGGTTTCAAAACCAACTCCTCCACCAACAGAACTGCTCTGTAAGAATGGACCTCAGTCTCCCCATGCTGGACATGTCATTTCTTGGCTGCTCTGGCACCTGCAGTGCCCTTCATGCCCAGTGACCTGAGCAGCTCAGCACCTTCCCAAGCTTCAAAGGCCTTGACAAAAAAGTGGCTGCTGTCACTGACACAGAAAATGTAGTTCTCTCTTTAGATTCCCAGGAAAATCCTATTATTTATCAAAATAAAAGCTGCAGTCAACTCAGCCTGGTAACTGGAGCTGGTGTCAGATCTAAATGAGGAAGGCAAAGGTAAGGAAAAGTGGCAGAGAATAGAAGAAAACACACTTTTTTATATACATAAAAGCATTTAATAACATCAGAAATTGGATAATACAGATTCTCTGAAAAAGGATTGCAGAAGCCCAGGCTATCCTGAGAAATAAAAGTATACAAATGTATAATGAGACCCTTAGAGCTCTTCAGTGACCCCAATATCCCAAGAAACTGAGCAAGAAGCACTTGTGCAATGAATAGCAAGGAGCAGAAGGATCAAATGGGAAACACCTGTTCCAAGTGTTGGAGATCTCTGAAAACATCACCAGCAAGGGGATCAGTAAAATCCAGATTTGATATTAAGCACCAGCACAACAGAGTTTGTCCCAAGGTTCACTCTGCTACTGACTGGATGGTTAAGGCAATTGAGGGAAAAACAAGCTACAAAATCCAGTCAATCAAAGCAGAAATGAGCCAAGAGCTGTCCCTGTGTGTGCTTGTGTTTAAGGACAAAATTACACTGATTCAGCAAACATTCACATTGCTTTAGGGATTTGCTTCTTCCCTTGTGCTGCCACTGATTTTTGATCAACAGTCTTGATACTAAATTAGATCCAATGCAAAAGCTGAGGATTTACTCAAATCAAGTGGGAATGGGGAATGATTTAAGGATACCAAGTACCCAGTGGGATTCCTGAGGGGCTGTACTCATCTCACTCTGTCTAAACTGGCTAATTTGTGAGGAAGATTGATGCCAGAGTTCTGTGCAGTCTGGGGGGAGACCAAGGCCTCTGTGACCCAATGCCATTCCTGAGGCAGCTGGACACAACCTCCCTCCCAGCCCTGCACAGGAACAAACATTCAGACTCAGTCTGCAGGTGGGGGCAAAACCAAATATCTCATCCCAGCTTTTCCAGTTCAACCTACCAGTCAGCTGGTGGTGGAAAAGCTTTGGTGAATGCAGAGATGACCTGAGAATTAAAACAATACAGGCACCTGGGTGCTGCTGTGGCATTCCAAAGTGAAAGGTGTGCAGAGGGCATGGGAAGTGCTCCAGAGCTGTCCCCACTTTGTCACAGAGAGAATTCAGCTGCTGTCAGCCTGTGCTGCTGTCAGCCCCACACCCTGGGGTGTCTACTCTCTGCAGCCAAGTACCAGCAGAGGATGGGGGTCCTGGTGCTGCCTGTGCTGCTCACAAAGGCCTGGAGCTGGACAAGAGTCATTGTGCTCAGGGAAGGTGTGGATGTGGTGAAGCTACATTTGTGAAAACAGGACAATTTGGGATACTACAGCAGGAGGTCTCATGGAAAATCAGTCTGTGTTCTGCTGGTCGCTGTGCATCGTGAGAGAGGAGGAGGATGCTGCTGGCAGAGGTTTTCTCCCTTGATATGGTTATCATGAATGTGTGAGCTTTTCTCTGTCAGAAGACTGTCTGTCTTGCTTAAAAGCTGCAGAATTGAAAAAAAAAAAAAAAATCAGTGAGGCTACCAAAGAAACTGGTAGATTCCAGTTAGAATTATGAACAAAATGCCTGTATTTGTGAAGTCCTCCAGGCACCTCCCCTCTCCCATCTGCTACTGGGCCACCCCTTGCTCCACAAAGGGGGGAGCTTCAAGGCTCTGCTGTGACCCTGCCTTGGTGCTGTGACCCATCAACTTCTGCCTTAGAGGGGCTCCAGGACAGACCTGAGACATCACTGGACATTGCACCCCAGGGCAGGACCTCAGGGCAGTCATTAATGGTAAATTTTTTACCCCTCACACTGATATATCCATTAATCTATTGATGGAACAACAGTGAGACTGGTTTTGTGCTGCCTTTGCTGGGCTGTACACGCACTTGTGCAACTCCTCCTGAAGCAAATTCAGACTTGGAAATTTAATCCTCTGGCTCTCAGAAAGGAAAAAGCAGCATCAGGAGATGGACTAGGAACAGGAGAGGAGGCTCAGCCTCAGGCATAGACAAGGTGCTCAAAACACTGGAGCCAAGTGGACAGAGGTGGAGGAGAAAAGCCATTATGGCAGGTTCAAGAAGTGTCCACAGAGCCCATCCCACCTCTCTCCTTTCATATTGGTTTGCAAAACAAACTTCCCTCCTGGATGCATTTAGGAAATCCTTGTTCTTAAATTAAAGCTGGCTCTGGAGTGGGCAGGGCTGGGAGAAGGAACCATTCTTCTGAAGGCCCTGTCAGCCCATGCCTGGATGTCCTGGCTGGGACACATCCCTGCCAGGGAAACTGCACAGCAGTGCTGCAGTCTGGGACTGCTCCAAGGAGCAGGATCCCACGGAGGGAAGGCTGAACCCTGTGACTCCATGGCCCTGCCAGTGCTTCCCCCTTTTTTCAGGAAGAAGCAGTGAGGAAATCCCTTCTGTGCTTATTTTTCACAACAAAGCCACCAGATGGGCACTGTCACGGCAGCCACAGGGAGGAGAGTTCATCCCAGCTGTCAGCCCCGTGAACATCATTAAAAACTGCAGGAACAACACAATGGAGATGAGAAATGGAAGAAAACCCTTTTATGTTTTTTCCCATTTCCAAGTGTGGGGCCCACAGGCAGCACACAATTTGTCAGACTGTACCTTGGCGACGCCGCAACCGCAAGAAGTAAAACATGGTGCCCCATCCTGCGCAAACCCCAGCAAACAGGAATGCCAACAAGATGCCAAGGCTGCTCTTGCTGGTGAGAAATTCAGCATTACCTGCAGAGTAGAAGAAAACACAGCATCCAAGTGAAGCAAGCAGGAGGGCTAAGGCATGAGCTGCCTCGTAAGCACCACGCAAAGGAACCGACCCCGTCTGATAGGGAGAGAAGGAACTGATGAATGAGAGAACAAAGAGCCTCTGGCTCATCTTGTCTTGCAGAGATGGCATAATGCTCACTTTATCAACATTCAAAGCAAATTCTTGTCACCTCAGCACAACAGATACCCTTGGACATCAATCTGATCTGAAATGACCAACAAGTGGTGAGACCCATCCTTGAGGAAGAGTTCAAATAAGGAAAACCATTCTGAGTGGTTTTTAAAAACCCTTTTGTCCATGGCCTAAGGAAGATGACAGGGTTTCTACCATGAAAGAAATTTGAATATACTAATGTCACCTTTAGTTGACAAATGTCCTCTTTGTCTGGAGGCAAAGTCTCACTTATTTACAGATAAAGTCAATTATTGGGAACTTGTTGCACACATGTACCCCCTTCCCTCAGCATCTCTGTGTCTGTCACTTGTAATTACAGGAACCTGAGCCTGTGGACATCTCTGTCCAGAACTGGCCATGTCCATTTGCCAAGGCAAGGTCTCTGAGACTGGTTGGCTGCAGCATGTGTGGATTCAAATTATGAATGTACAGGACATCTCCTGCCCATGTAAAACTCTGTTCACACCAATCTGTCTGGAAAAATCCCTCTCAAAGCACAAGGCAAAAAAAGACAAGAAGAGATTAACCTAGAATTTCCTCAGGAATGGCAATTGGCAGTGATGTGGGTTTTGGGTGTGATTTTTGAATGTAGCAGTTCAGGTGAGAGTTGTGATTCCAGGCAACTGCCTCTGCTTCACAGCAAACATTCTTCTCCTCAGTATTGATGTTACCTCCTCCATTTCCTGAGAAAAATGAAAGGTAAAAATTTTTGATTATAAATATGAATCATGTAGAAGATCTTCAGTGAAGGGCTAAAGATGTTGAAGAGGTTAATAGATTTAAAAAGTGGATAATGTTGCACAAAATGTTGGAGATTGCTATGATTGCTACGAGTTGAAGATGTTTCATTCCTGAACAGTCCCAATCAATTATTGTCATTAGATTTCCCTCCCACCAAAGCTAATGAGGTGTTCTGGGGATCAAGAGTGGAAATGTTTGAAGAAGGTAAGAAAGTTTTCACATGCAGTTAAGAATAACAAAACATCTGTAAAGAGCTTATCATTACCTTTATGCAAGAAAAAAAATCTTCAAATATTTTGCAGCTGCCTTTTACCCATAGGAACCAAAGAAGAGGAACAAGGAAGCAGCTTGTTGTAAATATCTAGTAGTAGCTGAGTAAATCTCTACTCAGCCCCCTGGAGTGCATCTCCTACCAACCCTACATCTCACTGTGCCATTATTGAGCTTATTCTTCTTCTGAGAGAAACTGGAAACTCCCTCCTACCTTCACCTATACATCCACCCCTTCCCCTCTCAGGGGACACAGGCATCCCTTCCTACAGCAATTTCCAGATTTCACTGTGAATGTTTCAGTGTCACCAGTGTTTTACACCATAGTGACAGCATGCAGATATTTTGTGGAGCATAAATACAGGAGAGAAATGGTTTATGGTGACCAGAAATTAAATACAGGAGGAATAGTTAGGCTAAATAAAATCATACTCAGGGAAGAACACTTTTTCTTCTCTTCCGTCAGCAAGAAAATTAGAAAGGATGCTGAAACTCCAATAGGAGAGGTGCTGAAAGCTGCTCTCAGAAAACCAACTACAGATAGAAATGTCATTGACCTGGATGGAGCTCAGCTTAGTCACACCCCTGCAATCCAAACCACCATGAAGTTTTGCCCTCATGGAGCCACTTGCTCCATGTACTGACAAGTGTTTGAATTCCTGGTTTTGGCAGTTTTGTGAGGAAGCTGGAAAGATGCTCCTGGGTGTTTATTGAATTGGACAGAAGAGCAGCACAGAGCAGCTCTTGAGGCTGGACCTAGGTCTGGGTGTGCTCTGGCTGAAGCAGGTGGGATTCAGACATTGCAACATGGCACAGAATTTCATCATGGGAATTGCTGTTGCCAAAAAAAAACCCTAAAATAAAAACATATCTTTATAAATCAGAATAATCTGTGTTTATCTGAATCTCTCCCAGTGTAGTTTTAAGCAATGTTTGACATGAAAGAACCGCATTTACTTTTGTGAATTACTTTATGACTTTTTTGTTTTTCACAGAAGAAACCAAATCATTCCAGTTTATTCACTCACAAGTCTCGCTGTCTGCCCAAATAAAGAACAGTTCAGTTTCCTACCCAGAAGTAAGTTTTCCATCAGTTAATAACCAGGTTCCCAGCACAGCATACCTCCAGAATTCAGGTTGCCACACCAGATTTTTGGTTGACCTGTTTCATCTGAGTAGAGGCCATACATTCCTTCAGGAGAGGAATCTGCATTCTCAAAGCAAACAGTGATGTGTGATTTGTTGTTCACCAACTCAACTGGTACATCTGACATAGTATTTCTCTTGTTTTGTATTTCAGCAATTCTTGTAAAATTTTTTAAATCGTTTTGGTCTTTCTTGCATGTGCAGTATTTATAGTCCTTGCAGTAGTAGATTGTCGTAATTCTGCCTTGTGACCTGTCAGCAGGGCCAACACTGGACATGGCAATATCTAAATCAGAAAAAAAAAAAATTTAAAAAAACCAAACAAACAAAAAAAAACCGAACAAACAAACAAAAAAATTTCCACCAGTTTTCTCCCTGGATGTTTAGTGTTTGAGAACAAGATGGGTCTTGGTGGACAAGCTTAGTCATGGCTTTGGAGACACTGTCTGCCAATGGGAAAATTTTATACAGTACTGGGGCCAGTTCCCAGGATAACTTTTGGGGTAGAAACATGATAGAATTACCCACTACTTACACTCTGTTTTTATCTGGCAACCTGGGAGGTGAGTTGAAAGATGTTTCTCTTGCTGAGCTCACCTGTTCTTGTCCTCTTTCCTTCCCAAACTCCTTGGCACAATCCCAGCAGGTGTCCCTCCAACACTCTGCCAGCTCCCAGGACCACTGAAGCTCCGAGCTCAGCTGCCACACTGCCCAGTCTGGGCGCCGTGTCCCAGGTTTCCTCCCTCAGACCCTCCCAGGAAAGAGTCAGTCCTTTGGGACATCAGACAGACCCAAACTGTCACCCCTCCCAAAAGAGGAGATTGTGACAGGTCTGACACATCAACCTTCACCTCCTTCATTTCTCTTCTCACTTTGGAAGCTTTATGGTCTTGCTTTTAACTGGGCACAGCTGAGTTTCTCCTAACACTTCAGAGGTTTTGGGCTATGGAAGTGCAGGAGAAAGCACCGAGGTCAAGCACAGAGACTCACTTGGACGGGGAGCAGCAAGAGCCAGGAGCAGGAAACCCAAGTGCAGGAGATGGGGAGAGTCCATGGGGCTGCCCAGATCCTCCCAGATCCTCCACAGTGCCAGGGCAAGCTTCTCTCTCCTCAGTCTTCTCCCTGTGGGGAATTAAAGGCAGTGCTTGGCACCCAGGGCCTCTGTGCTCTTTGTCCAGACAAAAAGATAACAGCTCACGGACCAAATGCCAGGCAGCTGCTTCCAGCCCAGGTCGTGGGATGGCAGCAAGGCAGAGGAACCCTCACTCTGCTCACACAGCTGCTACTGCACTCTGCAAGGGCCAACTCCCAGCCCTTTGCACCTCTGGCTCATCCACAGCAGCAGGAGACACGAGGTCCTTCTGCAGGGAGAGGGAAATCCTTCCTGACCTGCTGGGCAGGAGGCTCCGTGTCCACGTGTTCCCCCAGGCAGTGACCCTGCACACAGCCCTCAGCAGGAGCAGCAAATAACAGCTTGATTTGCTGTCAGATTTTCCCAAGTTGAGTTTCTGAGTTCCAAAGTTTTCTCCAGTTTTCCAAAACACACCAGATAATTAAGATGGATATGCTGAATGGAAATCCATCCATAAAATCAATTATGCTGAATGAATGTTTCACTTGGCCCAAGATGACATATTTACTGTCAAATCGAATTATATTTTTAGTTTAGGAGATCTGATGGGAAATATCTGTTCACGTCAAATGAACAAACAAACAACAACTTGGTATTTCTTTTCAAAACATCCTTGGATTTAGTCAGAAGTTAGTTTTCATTTAAATAAAATTGTCACGACTTTGTGATGTATGCTTTATGTATGTATGATGATGTAAAATACTTGCCAAATAAGAAAAAATTATAGAAAATTCACCTAACTTTCCTCAGCACAGTAGCTCTGGAAAATACAAACTGCTTTCTTCCTTTTTCTCCTTTTGATGAAAAGAAGCTTTTCATCAAAAGCTTTCATTAAAACAACTTTTCTTTTGCTGCCACTACCTGAGGAGTACTTTGAGGAACTTTCCAGATTAGTTATATGCTAATTCCTAATTATACATTCAAGAGACGTTAATAAATGCTTATCTCTTATCTGTTATGATCTGTGCAGATCTCGACCTGCTGAGAGTTCTACCCCATTTCCCAGAAACAGGTGAGCCAGGAGAAACACAACCCAAGGACACACCCTCTTCCACCACCTCTGTGCACTTCATCCTGATCACCTGGACAGTCCTGCAGGGATTTCCTCTGGTCCCACCAGGTGTCAACAACAATCTCTTCTCTTACATAAAAAATTCATACCTCAAAAATTCATCTGCCTCTTCCCATGCATAAAAAATTCATCCTCTCTTTTTAATTATTTTTTTCCCTGATCGTTCATATTTCACACATGACTTTATCTCATTTCCTGATTTCCAAAGCACAGTTAACATTGCCTGGCCCTCCTACCCTGCAGATAAGCAGAGTTCCAAGGGATTGACATCAATCTTGGAATCACAGAATCAGAAGTTTGGAAAAGACCCTCGAGTCCAGCTGTTACCACGGCACTGCCAAATCCACCACTTAGATCAGTGACACCTCTTCTTGTTTCTTAAATGCCTCCAGAGGATTTGTACCCCAGGGAATGTTTGCTGCACAGAACAGCTGCAGCACATCTGGCAGAGTTATTTGCCCAGGGGTTAAGATTTGGGTTTTGCCCAGTAGTTTTCAGTGTGAGGTTTGTATCTTGTATCCTCATTTATTTGGTCCTCTCTTGTGTAGTCTTCTCACCCCTCTCCTTATTCTGGTCAAAGGACATGTCCCTTCTTCTTCTCTCTGGTGACATTCCCTCCTTCTCCCCCTCTTCTTTTCAGCTTCAGCCAGAACACCATCCAGCAAATCTCTGCCCCCACTGACCTGTCTTAAAATCTGGAGACTCTCCAGCTGTCTTGGACAGCTCCTGACATCAGTTTTAAATTTACTTAAATAAAACACTTAAATCTAAACTGAAACACATTCTTTGGACAGAAAATATTTTCCATCCAGTTGTTTGGGTTTTTTTTGTTGTTGGTTTTTTTTTGTTGTTTTTTTGGTTTTTTGCCCGTTCCCCTTTCTTTTTCAAAGTAATAGAAACTTTCACTTATCAGAGCTTCTGAAGTTTTCTGAACCAGCCCACCTGAGATCACCAGCAGGACTTAACAGGAAATCTGCAGTGCCCTAACAAGGTCCTTTGGCTTTGGTTTTGAAAGGATCTGTTTGGGGAAACATCACTACCTGAAACTCTCAGGCTTTTCCTTATCCCCACAGCATCATAACAAACACAAAACAATAAAAAAACCTCCAGTGTTTGCCAAGAGAAGGAGAAAATTCAACCTCCAATGCATGAACATCATTTTCAGCAGAGCAAAGGTTCACTCTCCAAGTTAAAATCTGATGACCCATGTTTCCTCCTACTCCAGCACAAGTTAAACCAGGTCACTGCCTTTCCCGTGTGTGTCCTCAGGCTTTCTGCCTCTGGCACAGTTCAGTGGGGACCCCCAAAGTGACCAGAGCAGAGTCCCCCCAACACCCCCAGGAGCCAGCAGAGCAGAGCTGCTGCCCCAGGGTTCACATCCTCCCCTCTCCAAACAACCATCAAACACAGTCACAGACACACAAAACCCAGCTGTAAACACTGCCTTTTCTCACCTCTCTTCCAGCCACATACCCGCGGCTCGATTGCTTTAGGAGCAATTTGGTCTGTGGGTTTATGGTCAGAACCAGCTTGGTGGAACAAGACACCAGAATTTCTAAAAGATGTATCTGGAACCCTAAAGGTCCCGTGGGAAAGGCTCAAGGTGCAGTCAGCCTGGAGAAAATAGTACTATTGAAGGAAGTAAGGCAGCAACAGAATAAAACTCAAGGAACTTTGGAAGACCATACAGATTTTATTTTCTACTCTCTTTCTCAGAAAAGGAGAATTGTTTACATAAGAGAATTTTGGTATCACTTTCCTTATCACATTTCCTTCACGTTTCCTTATCATGGTTTGCTGTACACCACTAACAACAAGCCCTTGCAATAAAGACAAATAAAAAAACCAATACAAAATAATGTGAGGGGATAAAGCAGCTTTTTCCTGAGTGAGCATTTGACTGCAGTTGGTTTCTACAGCTCCAACAAGCATTGCAGACAGAGCAATCAGCAGGACATCGTGGTTGAGCTGAGAAATCTCTGCAAAAAATCCTAAGTGTAAAGCACATTTTGGCTTTCCTTCACCTGCTCTGAAACTAAATTTCTGCAGCATTATAAAACCTTGGTAACATTTTTTTTTTCCTGCCTGCAGTACATTAAGTAGAATTAAGTGTTTCAATGGTTTAACTTCTTCTATTTTAAAACCACTAATGCTTCTTGTTTTGGTTCTGTTTAGTTTCATTCTGACCCCAGAGCTGCCAGGCTGGATTGTTCATTAGTCAGGTTGGATGTGGGGAAATGCACAATCAGCTCCTTGAAAAGAAGAGCTGTAGGGATTTCTCCTTCAACCCTTCTGACAAATTCTTCCTTATTTGCAAACATGACAGGATGGAACTTTTGGAAAAGAACTTTTGGAAAAGAAGATATTAGCAGGACATGCTAAGGAGCAATGAGGAAAAAAGGATTAATGGATACGGAAAAATTATTCAGGAGTTACATGAACAGGAAAATGCTGTTAATTCATTTATTCTATTATTTCAGAGGTCACTCACACTTTTATATAAATACACTAAGAGGAAGCTGTTGGGTTTCTGCATTCCCACAATCAGTGTGAGCTCACACAGAGCTCTCTGGAAGTTGCCAGTCTGGGCTACAGATGTGGGATTATTTAGCTACAAACATCACCAGCACCAGCAGCACGTTTCTTCCCTGTGCAGAAAACGTGCAGCACACTGAGAATTTCCCTCCTGCCACAGACATTTCAGTGCCTGTTTCTGAATGCCTGCTGTGAAACAAGAAAGCAAGAATTTGTAAGAGAACAGGGTGGAAGACAGGACCCTCTAAAGAAGAAGACAGTACCTCAGAAGCTGTTTGTGTCCAAGGATGCCTTCATGCCTCTTCCCTTCTCCAAGTGCCTGTGCAACTTTTCCAGATCCCAAATCATTCAGCTCCTCTTCCAAAGGAAACGAGAAGTCAATGGACCTCAGAGAAAAACCCATTTCACTGGCTCCTCCCACACTTAATGCAACCTGGTGTCATGAGAAACTGCATTTTCGCTTTCAGTTCAGAAGTACAGGCCAGCAGTGGCACAGAGCAAAGCCAACCAGGTAAGTCTGTGCTGCTGTAAGTGCCAGAGCTGCTGCAGTTTGCAGGAAATGTTGAATTTGCAGGAAATGTTGAATTTGCAGGAAATGCTGGAAATTTGCAGGAACTTATCTAGATATCATAATAGCAATGTTTTCTCCCAGTCCACAGTTCACTCTTTCACCGCACCACTCTTTTATTGCACTTTGTCCTTGTTTTTATGATGTGACCCTCAACTCAGAAAGTTCAAAGAGTTTCTGCTTGCAGATTTTGCTCTGGGATAAAAGGAGTGTTGATGGAAGGATTCACGTGCTTGGTTTATGCTGAGCATTGCAGCACCTGTGCCCTTGTGTAGTGGAAGAAACGGAGGCTGACCCTCAGGGAAACTCAGTTTCAGGGGTTTATTTATTTATTTATTTATTTATTTATTTTTATTTATCATATAGAACTGATCAGCCTTCAATTTGATCAGTGTGCTGCACACCCACACTGCCCCTCCAGTGAATTTGGGCTTTGCTCTCACAGTCCCAGCTCAGGGCAGCAGCTGTGTGTTAAAAAAATGCTCCAAAACTGGGACATTTGTCTGCCATTTCACTTTCATGTTTCAGGCTCAGGACATTAAATTGGAAACATTTTCTCAAAGAGAAACCCAAACCACCTCTACAATAAACACAGCTAAAACCAAACAAACCAACAACAAAACCCCTTGTTTCCCTTATCCTGTGCCCTTGTTACCCTGCCCTGGCCCAGAAGGATCACCTTCACCATATATATAAGTTTTCTACATCTCTAGAGAAGTTGGGCTGAACTGCTCAGCCAGGACTGCCTTAATATGTTGTAAAATGGGATGTGAATCACAACAAGGAAACAAGCTGCAGTTATGAAATGTAGCAGAAAAAAATACAATTTGGGGGGTTTGGGGGTTCCCAGAAGATTGCTTGGTTTGAGGAGTGCTAACAGGACTGAACCCTTCACTCAAATCCAGCCAAACTAAATAGCAGCTGTTCTAGTGCAAGCTGGCACCACTGAAGATAGCAATATTCTGGGAATATGACTCAAAATTTTAATTTTTCTTTTCTCTTGATTAATTTTCACAGAAAGGGTTAGTGTTCAAGAACAGGATTTGGTAATAAACCACACAAGAGTTGTTTCTGATTCACCTCTTCCTTAGAGACACAACATTGAGTTCCCCTGGCCCAGGCATAATGTGATTTTTCATTTTCACTGTTCCCTCTGAGGGATACCAAGTTCCTCAAACATCAACTTTCTGCAAGCATAGGGCAGAAATTCAGGGGTAACATAAGCTGCCTAATTTAGAATTATCAGGAACGGGCAAAGATCATCAGTACCCAAAAACTGCTTGGAGAAGTTTTGGTTTTTACAGAGTTTGCACTCCATCCTTTGACTCTAAACCGTGTGATATATAGAAAAAAGTATTAGTAATTTATGTCTTCAGTAAGAAACTTCTCCTTATTAATTAAATTGTATTTATATTGTAATAATCCCACAAACTTTCACTCCTGAACAAGGCTTCATTTCAACTTCCAAGAGAGAGAATCTCCAACATGAACCTTCTCGTAAGGCCAAGGAATCTTTTATTTGGTCCATCCTGACAGCACAAAATCCCTTCTAGCTGAATTCAGAATTATTGGCCCAGAATACCAATGTTAACTTTAACCAGAATTTTACCCAGAAACTCAACATGATAAATGAACCAGAAAATATGAAAGTTAAATACTATGAACACAAAAGAACCTCAGTTTTTCTTATCTATATGCATGATTACAAGAAGTGTTTTGGGCTTCTATTACTTTTTGTTTCAAGGAACTATAACATCTTGTTTCTCTTATTTCATGTTCTGGGAAAATAAAAGTAATAAGGCAGCATAGGGATCTTTCCCAGGTCTCAGCATTAACAGTCTTTGTCGCAGTAGACTGTTGGTCTCAGTGTGCTTTGTCCTTGATTTTGGCTTCCAAATCTCACTTATCTTCACTTTAATGGAGTTGAGAAATTCCCCTGCTAATGAGGTACATGAACAAGACACATAAGGTAATGCATGGCTGGAACATAAAAAGGATAAGCCCAGTGTTTTATGACAGCCATTGTAGGGTCATAAATGCTTTTATTGCCAAACCACTCACCAATCAGCTGCCACAAGAAAAAATAAAGTTGTTTTCTGGTTTTGGTTAAAATGTTACCCTCCAAAGCTGAGCATGCACATTCAGCTTTGCTCAGAAGTATTAGAGGAGAGCCTACTGTGAAAAACCATTATTTTGGCACCTGTGAATTACTGCAGAAGAAATCAACGGTGTCCTAGATTGCAAGGCAAGATGCATTCACTTGCCATCTGTTAGAGGTGTGGCAGTTATCTTCTCTTAATTGGGCAGTTTTCTTTATCTTTTCCACAAACCAATCCTCTCTCAGGGGAGACATCTGCTGATAATGGGATATTGAATGTCACTCCGTGGCTGACAAGAACTAGAACATCCCATTGTGAGATGCTCCACCCAGAGGGAGGAGCCAGGCATTCCTACCTGGATATAATCTTGAGTTTCTGTTTCCTGCACTGGATTTCCCAGAGGAACAGCTGCCTCTTCTCCAGATTCTTCAGAGGAAAACTGCACCCTTTTCTGCAGGATCACTGCTCCAACAGAGCCACACCTGACACTCCAGAGGACTGCAGCCACAATTCCCAACTGGACTGCTGCCAACACCCTGACCAACAGGGTGTCAGGTTGTATTCTGACTCTGTCAGTGTTGTTTGGGTTCACTGCATTGTTTATTTTATCTTTATATTTTCTTCCCTAATAAAGAATTGTTATTCCTGCTCCCATATTTTTGCCTGAGAGCCTCCCTTAATTTCAAATTTATAACAATTTGGAGGGAGTGGGGGGGGGGGGGGGTCCTAAATTTTTTTTTTCCATTTCAGAGGAGGCTCCTGTCTTCCTTAACAGACACCTGTCTTTCCAAACCAAGACAACAGCTACCCAAGATGCTGTAGGCAGAAAGAGCTTGTGCTAAGCCCCCATGGACACCTCATGAGGATATCTCCTCTTCCAGGAGCTGCCCTGGAGGCAGAAGAGTGACCAAGGGCAGGAATGAGGAGATTAACTTCTTAACCCCAAGCACAGATGGACCGTAGACAATTTTGATCTTTTGCTTAGAATCATAGAATATTTAAAGTTGGAGAAGGTTTTGGAACCTTAAATCATTAAGGTTCCAAACAAGGCCACGGTCAGTAAGAGAGATGCAGCCACAGGGTGAGCCTCCTGTGCTACAGGAGCTCCTCTTCAGTGTGCCATGGGGGAGCACAGCTCAGGATGCCCTCATGCTCTGGACACAAGGTAAATCACAGAATCACAGAATGCTTTGGTTGGAAGGGAACTTAGAGGTGTAGTTAAAGATCTAATCCCACCCACTAGGGACACCTTCCACTAGACCAGATTGTCCAGAATCCCATCCAGCCTGGCCTTGGACACTTCCAGGGATGGGGCAGCCACAGCTTCTCTGGGATACCTGTGCCAGGGCCTCACCACCCTCAGAGCAAAACAACTTCCTCCTAATCTCTCATCTAAAGCTGCTCCATGAATCTGAAGCCATTTCCCCTTGCCCTGTCACTGCATGTGCTTGTAAAATCCCTCTCCGTCTCCCTTGTAGGCTCCCCGTAGGTCTGGAATCCTCAGCCTCGTTAGTTCCCAGGGCTGCAGGGCAGGACCCCATTGCCAGGGCACAAACTTTCCACCAGCTTTTCTTCTGATGAACATGGAAATGGTCTGATGTCCTCCATGTGCTGTCCCCTGCTCCAGAAATCCACGGGGTGCTGGATTTCTGAACCAGGATCATCTTGATACCATAACACTTCCTCCAGCAACAGCACAATTGGATGGATGGATGGATGGATGGATGGATGGATGGATGGATGGATGGATGGATGGATGGATGGCTCCATGGATGGATGGCTCCATGGATGGATGGATGGATGGATGGATGGCTCCATGGATGGATGGCTCCATGGATGGATGGATGGATGGATGGATGGATGGATGGATGGATGATCCATCCATGGATTGATCCATGGATGGATCCATGGATGGAGCAAATTAAGGTGATCTTGAACATCACAAGGCAACAAGGCCCAACCCAGCAGCTGCCCACCAAGCCTGTGCTGTGGCACACAGAGCAGCCCCTGCTGCCAGGAGCTTGTACCAGGCCCAGCACCTGTGTAGCCACCCAAAACTCCCTCATTCATTCGTTCATAGGATGATCCAGTCACCTTCCCAAGTATTAAGCATCTTCTCTTATTATTTCTTTTTTAAATTTAAGTGGTTGGGAGAGTTATTTTGAAGCCTGCCAAGAAGCTGCTCTCCCTACAAGACAAGATCATGAACTGTTTGTGCTTGTGCTCTGTTTCACTGTCGCCCGTTTAGAGCTGCAGATATTGGCTGAATCACCCTGAAACAGTAATCTGGTCTGGGGAGACAGCAAGTGTGAATAAAGCACCTCTCTTCCTTCCACAGCTGATTTTTGGTTTTGTTTTTCCAAACTCCAATAGCAGAGTTTGGAAAATTACTGTATGGAATGCAACTAACCATTGTGTTGCAAGAAATACACATCAGCAGCTTAAGTGTCTGTGGCAGTGCTCCAAAGCGTTTTTTTCAGCAAAATCTGGAAATGAGCTTCCTCTAAAAGGCAGGCATTTCCTAGAACACGCTCTTCCAAGAGTGCCAAACCAGAACTGTATCTGCTGTTGTGATCCTCTGACTTCAAAAAGCTTTGATGTCTTTTTAGGAGAAACAGCCACCTTTTCCAAGCATTGGGGCACCCTCTGTGCATGTCCAAGGGAGCTGTTCTTGACTGCTATGGCACAGTCAGTACCCAACAGCATCCCAGAGAGCAGAATACACAGAAACCGAGATCCAAAACCCCTCCAGTTTTGCAGAGATACAACCTGAGACCTGCTGAGTTGTCTGAGCAGGTGCTAATAATGCCAGGGTTTTGGGTTTGATCCCAAATATATTCACCTAAGAGTCCTTTCCAACTCAGACTATTCTGTGATTATGTGAACCAACAG